AACTCTAGGCCTTGGTGGCTGCGTATGAACTCGACTGCCCGGATGATTTGCATCATAATGTCGCTGCTACTAGTTGGAGGGAACCGAACACTTTGACTAATGAGCGGAATGACGCCGATCGCATGCCCGGCCGTCCTTAGACTTATAGGCGTATAGGGCGTGCAGGATCCTGGTCCCTGTAGAGCTGCAGCCTGCAGCCAGAGTGCGTCCACTTTCTGCACGCTCCGTTTAAGACGCCTTCCTGGTTAAATTTTGTCTGCCTGAAGCCCCAAGCAAAAGGCTCGACTTGGAAATGGGAGTTTCAGAATAAAGGAAGTTCGGTATCGATCTGTCGCAGTGAGATGACAACATAGACATAGAGGACGCATGGTAGGACCTGGTAGGGTCTTGTTTCGAAGGATCCCTGTATTGAGGCCAATTTCCGTGTTCTACCAGCCGAGGCAGACGGACGAAGTCTCGCCTGCAGATGCAGCTAGCAATGCCCTTGCCGGCCCGCAGATCTGGTGCGGGAGCCAAGGGCCCAAAGGGGTGATACCACTGTGTTACGATGCGGTGATACCAGACTCCCCGAGACTTCAAGACTTCAGCTGAAAACCCGCGCATCACGAGCCCGCGGCGCCAGTATGGCTGTCGGCTCCGGATCTGGAGCCGCAGCCCTCGGATTTGGCTCTGCATCCGATGTTAGAAGGACAAGCACCAAAAGACTCTAGAAATGAAGAATTTGGTCAAGTTCGGCACATGCCCCTGCGACCTTGTGCGAAGGTGGCAAGCAGAGTGCACTCGCTACCCAATCGGTGAAGAGTCCTACCCTGCGAGCACCATCCAGGCAGCGTCGCCTCGACAGATGTCAATTTCAAGTAGTGTGAAATTGCACAAGGCTTTTGCAGTAAGATCTGTATTGCGTATCTGGCATCTGTACTTTACCCGTAGCGGTGCACTCAACCTCGATCTCCGGCGTACAGAGCCTGTCCAATGTTCCCGGCACATGGCCTTTACCTAAGGATCAAGGGACTCGAGTAGCTTTGCAAGCCTGCTTATGACTGACTCGCCAAACATCCTGAGCGTTTGTCTGCAGTTTCGAATCTGGATCTGAGACGTAGCATCCAAGCATTCTAGGACCGTTGAGTGTTGAAGCAGTACGCAGAGACTTGCCACAGCGCGGCCAACCCAACTGGACGAATAAAGGTCTGAAATATAGTAGTAAGTCACTTACATAAAGCCGTTGCCAAGGCGCCTGTATTAAGGCGTGTTTGCCAAGTGTAAATCGTAAGGCGAGTGCCAAAAAATCGTAAGTTCATCCTTAGGCAAGATGCGGAAATTATTCAGAACCGGCCCATCAGGATGCGCCGGGAACATGGATCGTTGGAGATGAGAGGCCTTCGCGTGTCGGGACTGGGAGATCTGGGGAATCTAGGGCCAGGAAAGGGACACAGGTGAGTCCTAGGAGGTTTCGCATAGAAAACAGTTTTCTGGTACTTGGCACTTCACGATAGCACTGCCGAAAAGACCTTCCGATGCCCAACAACACGGTAGTTGGATCCAGAAATAGAAAGCAGCATTGCGAACCTTGGGCACTCGGGCATTCGATCTGCCCGATGTTGCTCATGCCGAAGTCTTCCTTCATGTGGAATGTCGTATCGTTCGAGCAGCTCTCCTTGCATGGCTCACTAGCACGGCAGCTGCAAGGAGTGGGAGGCGAATGGGGCCCACGGAGGAAGTCGGAAAGCTTGGGAACAACCAATGCTTATGCAGCGAACTGTGGAATCGAGCTTCATGCCAGGGCATCGGAAGTGAGAGCCACAACTGCTGCAGACAGCGTGATAAACCCAAAGGTCTGGAGTCATGAGATCGCTTGAACCATCAATGCACCTACCAGAAGCCGGCTCAAATCGATCGAAGCTTTGGATGCGGAAAATCGGCTCCGCGAAGGCCTCCTCCGCGATCTTTCCCGGCAGGTTTGCAAATTCCCAATGTAGCAGCTCGGCTTGTTGGGTTAAGTTTCAAGTTGAGGGCGTCGGGGCTAGGCCATTGATATCCACCGACTTGTCAGATACAGCCGGGATTTCGAACCCACTGCCAAAACGAGCGAGATTCAGCCATGCTGTGCTACTTAACGAAACAAGATACTCAGGGAGTTGGCTTTTAAAAGGCTCGCCCGAACACGGTACTAAGTTACCTGATCCTTTTGACGCTTGGATATGAGTAAACGTTGAAGAACTCCGCAGTGAGCCCAGGCCCGCGACCTATGTGGTCACCGCCCTTCTGGACACGGCCGCCGGCTTAAGTAACGGATCTCGCTATCTCTCTCTCTCTCTCCCTCTCTCGCAGATGCATGCCTCGCTTTGGAAGGCTACTCTTCCGGCAGCCGGCTTGGAGGGCAATCGCCCCAGCGGCTGGCCTCTTGGCTCAGATGTCGGGGACTGGGGATCAACTTGAGGGCTGCCCACATCACTAGAAGGCCCGAGACTCGGGTCGCCGGGATGAGTGTTGCGAGACCTTGCTGAAGGTTGCCGAATCCGCACGAGGTTTCGGCTGGAATTCGGCCACGACTAAAAGACACAACCTAGCGCAAAAGAGTCTTTCCCCACAGGTCTTGGCCTCCTGCATCGGGTTTCCGTAGGGGTTATTACTAAAACGGTCGCCATTTCCACCACCTGGGTGTTGTCACCCGGTACCCGGCTCCACTCACTTCACGTCTCCACTAGAAGACGCACCATCCAAGACGCTGGACTTCAGCCAGGTAGTTGAACCGTTCGAGACTTCATGTGCGGCCGGAAGCTGACGGCTACAAGGGTTGTCGCAACTCTTACGAAGAGTTGCAGCGAGTCCGCCGAAATTCTGAGGATGCCTCCGCCCAACCACAGCGTGGTGCACTGGTTGTCACCGAGAGGCACTGGCTGTCCTGGCTCTATGGATGTCACTCTTGATGGAATACCTGAGCTTCAGCCCACAAACTCAAAAGTTTTCACTGGTGACAGTGACGGTTCGGAGGTCTGGCTGTTTTGCGTGGGGTTTCGTTTTGTTGTTCTTTGTAGCTGAGTGGATACACTTTACACTTTTTTGGATAATACTACCCACTCTAAAACTGAAAGTGTACACGTTTTGGGGCTTATGAACTCAGCAACTAGGTATTGTAAATGAAATTAAGAAAACGCTTCAAGTCGAAGACGCCTTCGGCAGCAGCTCAGAGCTAGTCCAGCTGTCCAACCAGCACAGCCCAGGAATAAGCCAACATCCTCGAAAGCAGCAACTCTGGAGCCTGAAAACGGGAACCTCAGCCCCTGCAATGAGAGCGGCCAGATCCGATCCCTACCTGAGGCGCCTCGCCTTAATACCTAAACTGATGCTACAATGACCTCTACTCTATCATGGCTCGGGAAAGATGACGTGGAAGCTCCATCAATCGTGAACAGTCGGGATTGGAAAATCTGTTGGAGCACTTCCCAATCCCAAAGCATAGCCGCAACTCTGAGAGAGCATAGTTGGGGACTACGGTACAAGTCAGTACAGTAGGGGAGATGGTGGTAATAGGTGGTGAATCCCGTCAATCCAGTTCCCTTTCCCAAAGCCTCAGCCTTCAAGGTGTTCTGACTACAAGGGAGCTTGCGGAAGGAAAAGAGGCGTCAACAAAAAATAGCATAGAGTCGCAGTCGAAGCAACAACGACAACATCGAACCTCTGCACTTTTGACTTCTGCCATGCCAGGAATGGCGTACTGCTCTTTGACCTCTAAGTCACGCTTGATGCGAAAAGATGCTTGGGTGGAGAGTTTGAAGTTTTCCCCACTGAAATCTGAGCCTTGAGGAACTTATTTTGTTTTTTTGGCTCATGCCAACATGGCTTCAGTCGCCTCCAAAGACTCTGACAAAACTTCCGCTTTTCAAGTGGCTTTATCCATTTTGTGCTGGTGCTTGCTTGCACTTCTGGCCTTGGCGACGGGAGCTTGTTGTGTTCTCACATTCCAGCCCGGAGCCCAGCACTGCCCAGCAGGGCGTCAATCCAAGGATTCCAACCTTAGCCACCACAGGGAAAGCTTGCCAAAAAAAGTGCTGCTTGTGCCCTCAGCTGCATAATGCCCTACGACCTGCTTTGTGTGTACTAGATTCCATGAAGCATCTTCGTGGCAAAGGAAACCTTGGCCTGCAACCTGCTCAGTTTGTGTTTATTTCCAGCTTGCCCGGAGGATGCTTCTCCGTTGCAATGCCCTGCAGTACTGCCGGGCTCCCCGTAAAAGTCAAAGCAGAGGAATCTCTCTCGGGTGGCTTGGTGCTTGTGGAGTTTTGGGGAGCTTCGGAACTGCCAGCCTCGCGGCTCCACCATGTTAAGACTCACCGCGTAGCAGCGATTGGTGGCAATGCTTTCGTGCACGTTTCTGGCTTCTGGAAACTTGACACTGGCTCGTCAACAAGTTACAGCAGTGAGTCTTCAGCTTACAGCTTGGCCTTCGCCTGCTAGTCTGAGACATCGGACAGGAATCTCCGGATCTTCATGCCAGCGCCAGAAAAAGGTTAAGCTTCAGTTGGCCGCAAGACAGATTGTACTTCCTAGCGCCGTGTCTTCAGGCCACGGCTCCCTGCACGGTGGCTGTTCTTCTGGGGTCGATGCTTCAATCACGCTCTCAGACGGTTGTGTCGAGAGAACATAGAGCCACAAGTTCGATATCCGATTTCACAACGTGAGCAATGGTTTGATATGGTTTGATTGAAACACCTAGCACTCCGAAGGTGCTCGCTGCGACATGCTTGACAGTATACTGCATGGTGACGATGTTAATAATTCCGCAGGCATGGCACCCACAACGATCCTTGGCAGGAGTCCACTCGCTCATGTGGGGCAGACGCCCCCAATGTCACGCCAGATCCATGGGCATGGAAGACGGCTCTGCTAAAGACGTCTTCAGCCAGCTCAGTAAACACATCCAGACACGAGTCTCCAGAAAAACAGTTGCCACATGTTTGGCGGCATCTTTTGGGGTGCTCTTTCAGAAGCCTTCGGCCTAGGCCTCCACATTGAGCCGCTGGGCAGCTGTTGGAGGTGAGGTGCTTCCCAGCCGTCTGGATTGGTAAATGAGTTTAAGTGGTCCTGCCATCCGGTGACCGGGTGAAACGTGTCGATGAGTTGCTTCCACTTGGGTCCTGGGCTGTTCCGCGAGTAACTACTCGGGAGTGGAGGGATGCAGTTTGTCATGCAGTCAATGTCTCGGCTGAGGCGCTCCGGGCGATGATTGATGTTTAGAGGTTGCCGGAAGCACACCAATGGGGAGACAAACCTTCACAAACCGTCGTGGGGGACTGTGAAGCCACTGCGTAACTCGAGGGTTTGCAAGCTACTCGGAGCGAATTTTGTTCACTTCACGCGGAGGTTTGTATCATTCACCTTAATACTGTAAGAAGCCTCGCGGCTCCATGATGCTTGGAACATACCCTGACGAAAGGCGAACAGCATGTTGAGATACCCAAATGAGCCGTTACACAGGTTGCTGCTGAGCGGCGATCCTTGCTCTGGAGCCGAGCCCAGACGCAAACCGCGTGATACCAGGTTTGCTAGAGGTCGTTCCCATCGCTGTGCCTCCCACGCTATGCGGAGCAGGCACGCATCTTTATCATTTTGCTAGGCCACGTGCTGCTGAGCTGCATGGGTCGAGCCAGTTAATGTCAGCGCCCTTTTGCCGGCGAAGCCGGTCTCTCCAATGTTCGTAGCAGAATGACCGCTCACCTCGGATAGTAGCTTAGCCACAGATTGACAACTTTTGTAAGGCTGGGCGGTCGTGGCTTCGCGCAGCATGGGGCTGCAAAGCAGATCTTCCTTTCTCCCTGACAGCCGTGTGAGGGGAGCTCCTCAATTCATGGTCTCTCCGTCCACATCCACGTCAGACAATATGGTCCTGCTGATGGTCGCAGCAATTCAAGCCGAAGCTTTAAGTTGGTCATCGTGCACTTCCGCAAGCTGTGGCAGATTGAGCTCTCTTCTTGGCCGATTCCGATTGTTAAGGACAAGACACGTACCTTTGCAGGGTTGGGACAAATCAGCATACGTCTTGCCCAGTCAGCAAGCCACTACTTGCAAGAACCCTGTTCGATTGCTTTGCTGTGATACCTGCTTACGTTGTTCAAGCTGCTATTCAGCTATTCAGCACCACACCTCGTAAGCCTTTGAGGGGAATCCTGAGAGAAAGAGTTTAGAGGTGGCCCTGACAGTTGTATGCTGAATTATATACGGTTGAACTCGAAATCTTCGCAACTCGTACTCCGTCTGTCCGTCTGCGTATAAGCCACACCTCCCATCCAAATTTATGGAGTGCTCTGTCTTCCCGGGCTACAGATTCAACCCACTCAAGGAGCATGCACGGGTTTCTTAGGCAGCGCACTTCCACTCTGAGCTGCAGTATCAAGACACAGCTTGAAAGAACCTGGGTGACCAAAGTTTGCACAGCCAACGTCACCACTTGTCCTGTCTGTTGTTCACGCGCCAGGGTGCGTCTGCAGGACGAGCTGTCGGACTACGTGAAGGCGGGCTGCAGCGCCAAACTTCTGACGCGGGAGTAGAGGCGAGCCGCTTAAGCTCATCGGCTAACTTGGCAATGGCATGGGAGCTTAGTGTATCCGAACTCCAGCTATCCCGGGACGATGGTAGTCGGATTGTTCGGTGGCCTACGATTTTTGCACTCCTGGCCAGTAGCCCCGCCGATTCGTGTTTGTGGGTTCGCCTCTTGCCCAACACTCGAAGTGATGTGAAGATCACCACCGCCAGAAGAACCCGAACACAGCCCCCACCTCCACAGCCTTTCTGAAAGATCCCATTGCGACCCCCCTCCGTCCAGGGCCTTCCGAAGACCCGCCTCGTCCGCTTAAAAGAGCGGCGAGGCCGAAGAACCAGCGCTGCCTTTGGTGGTATTGACTACGACTACGAGTTATTATGTGTTTTTTACTTGCACCTTTTGCTGCTTTAGCATATGCTCTAGTATTCCTTCTGTTTATTGGAATTACTATTGTCACTGTTATTGTGGCTTGTCCCCGAGGAGAAACACTGAAACGCTGAAACGCTGTACGACGTTTGCTACATACGCAATATGCAAGTTCTAATGTCGGGCAGTCAATCCAAAGACGTAGGGAATGCAACACTGGAAAGCTTGCATACACCGGATATTCCAGGGTTGAAAGGCAATCGCACAGCACAGCTCATTTGCCAGCAAATTAAGAGCAATCACACAGGGATGAAGTACGAGAATGTATTGACGGCTCCAAAGCAGGGTTTGTCGCGCATTGTAACAGGGTTTGGACGAGGCTGCTGCAGAATTCACAGGGTTGCACGAGCTTCAGCTGACCATTCTGAAAGCACGGATTGCTAAAATAATAGGTGCAAGCAATCAGGATTTGCAACTTCCTGGGTCAGTCTCCAGACCAGGTTTTTTGAGATTGTGAGGAATGCAACGAAAACACGGCATTTGTTGAGATGATACGAACTAGGACGAGCAGTGCGAAAAACATCCGTAGTCATCGTCCATGGAGACTGGAATGCTGAGAATCTAGGTTGGGCTCGAATGGACGTAATAGACATGTGAATTCACCCTGGCTTTTGTGCTTCGGTGCAGAATTAAGGACATTAAGGGTTTATCAACGTTGCCTCAGTTTGTAAAATTTCGGTCAGTTGCTGGTTCCACAATAGTACAGCAGTGCAGACATGCAAGGGGGATACTATGCAGTCGTTACTATGAGTACAGATGTATGCGTACATTATTACTACTATTGCGAGCGAGACTATGACTATGGTTATGATTATCAATCATCATTAAGTGGCATTCGTTCATTATTTATGGCCAAGAGGACTCAAGTGCTTAGAGGCTTTTGGTCCGGTTGATTTCTGGCCGTGCTGTCAAGTTGAAGGGCTGTTCAGACATGGGATGAAGCTTCAAGTCTATTCCGGGATTGGTTTAAAGCCTCTGGGATCCGGTTTTGGATTCTCGACGAAGCATCCATCAATGGTTGGAGGATACTGTAGTATGCGGAACATGTTTACTCGTAGGCGTCTTGTTCCCCAGAGTGCAGTGACAACCAAATCAGGCAACCACAAGATGCGGAAAGAGACGGGTCTGAGTTCTTGTCGCCCTCATGCTTCCCACTGCCACTGCTCCACTCCCACCTCTGTTACTACTGAAGAGCTACATCCTGCTGTCGCCATCGTCTTCGACCTATAGACCTGTCAGCCTTGCAAAGAACTGTTGAAGACTAGCTGGCGTTAAGAGTGTCCACTGCTCTCCCGAGAAACACCTTCCCCTTGGAGCCTTCATTCATTATGCGTTTTCGTTAGGGAGCTCAATGGTTGCATCGTATAGAGTACCGTTGGACTGTTCCCATTTGTGCCAGGCCTGATGCTGGCAGCTGGACTGCGTTGAATGGGGCTGTTGCTCACAAGCTCGGGGCCAGTCCTACACACCGCCCTAAAGGGTTATTGGCGCTTGAAGGCAATGCCTGCAAGACATCGTGCCAAAAAACTGCTGAACTCTGAAGTTTAGAGACAAAGACCAGCCAATCATGAGGCACGGATGGAGGGCGTTTGGCGCTCGGATGCGCCGGTGACCATCTTCCTAGACAGCCACATCGAGGCCGCTCTGATGTTGCTTATGAGTGTGATTCCATGTGGCATTTGCGTGAGCACGATGGTTGGTTTCGAAAACTAGGAGCGTTCCGAGGTCCGTCGGTCGCCGCATCCATGCCAAGTGCTAGTGTTCCTTCGGAAGAAGCTCAGAGGCTTTCGTTCTGATCGCGTCATTTTTTGAGCATCCCCTTCAACTCCAGAGCAGATGCTGCAGGCTACGCGCGGTTGGATTGAGCCCATACTTGCGCGCATCGCGGAGGAGCGCGGTTTGCATCTGTCTCTTGCGGAATCACCCCCAATGATAGTTCGAGGCCCGCGGCAAGGCACGTTGGAGTTCGGCTGCATGGAGATGCTTTCGAGCGCCAGGACAAGCGGCACGTGGTCGTTCCCAGCATCGACACCCTCGGTGCTGAGGCGACAGTGGGCACCTTTAGAGTACCGATCATGAATCACCAGGTGCCGAAGTTTGTAATCAACTCAAAGCGCGCTCCATGCCGGCGGGCAAATCCCCGGTTCGCGCTGCCTTCGGCATGATCTTCGAATCAATCACGTTTGCCAATATGTATGAAGTCCTTCAGGCAACAACTGCAGCAAGTAGAGGCATGCTAGCGCAGCTCAAGAATCCTCATATCACAAAGTATGCCACGGACATGCGGCTGTCTATTTCATTCAGGACATGGTCTACCGCGTGGGCGGCGGCCTTGGTGTGCTAGGCCCGACGGGGCTTTGGGACCTGTCCGCATCCGAGGTTTGCCCCCATCTATCTGCCCAGACTATACAGTCTACTTTAATGTACGTATGGATGCGTTGTCTTTTCGAAGGTTCCTGCCGGAAGGGAGCAACCTAGCCCGGGCTGCACAGATGGATCTCCTAAACAGTGCGTTTGGACACTCGACGGGGAAGCATAGCCCTGCTTGAAGGCTTCTCCTGGACTCTGGGGCAGGCCGCAACATTTGGTCTGCGCAGCGGAGGTGTAGGTGAAGACTTCGAGCTGACAAAGCACTCGCAGACGTTTTCAAGGCATGCTGTATGATTCTTGCGTCAGTAGTCGACTTCGGGCAGTCTTGGATTCCTCTTACTCTGCCTCTTTCGTCATGACAGGGTGCAGCTGGAACACGACGTCCTCTGGTTGTTACTGTGTTTAGTTTACCAATAGTTTTCATTAGCCTTGGGTGCGACAGGATCCTTATCTCGCCGACACCGGAGGGGACGGCACACGCCCGGCGAAGCCCGGGTTCCGAGAGATATTCAGCGGTTGAGCTCTATGCGGGCTCCGATAGCAATTCTCAAGATCCTATTGTTCAAGGTTCTATCTTGTGCTTCAACACCAGAAGGTTCACGTCTCTTCCATAAGACTGGGGGGCCCCTTGCTCATGGAGTCTGGTCCGGCCCAGGTCCCCAGTTATGGCCGGAGGACTCTGAGCGTGATGCGCACGTGACGGTGCTGACTGTTGCCGATGTTATGAGTTGATGCAGCAAGCATAGGCTAACCCCACACCTCACATCCAATACTCCCCCCTACACTTTCACACCATTTCCCAACCCGCCTAAGATTTCAACCCCTCAAGCTTGCTAAACATAAAGCAACTCCCGAAAACCAATGCAATAATCCCGAAAACAGAGCAATCCCCCAAAACCAATACAACAATCCCAAACACAATCCAAAACCCAAAGCGCCTGAACAATACTCACCCTTATCCATAGAATAACCTATATCCTAGTATGAGGTGTGGGGTAAGACCCTAATAGAAAAAGCTCAAAAGACCATAACCCTGTCATTCGAATGCCATAACATACAATAACAATTATTGTGGGAAATAACTACTATTGTATGTTCCTTTCTTCTTGCGTCTCTCTTCTCATAATGTCTATTGTCCTCCCATCCACAATTTCAACAGTTAGTGTTCCGTTCCTTACATAAGCCATCACCGTGCAGTTTTAAAGACATGGTACTTTGTCGGTTAGTGTATTCATAACTTTATACTTTATCTAGTTCAGGTCATTGTTAATTTTAGATATTTCCTGCTTGCTTTTATGTTCCGATGTGTCGGAAGCAAACGAGGATCTTGTCGTCAAGATGTTTAGGACAACACCAGGACACAAGTTGCAGATCGCATCTGGCCCAACACCTTCAAAGTCCCCCATTGCATCTTCAAGAATCCGACATCCCTCCTCTGATGGACGGCAACGAAAAGGACTCTTCGCCTCCGACACGCGGGAGTTCCTCCGACTCGGCGGTGTGTCGCTCAGCCGTCAGAGCTAAGACATCGGAGCCTTCACGGAAGCTGAAGCTGAGCATGATACAGTATCCCGGGTATCAACCAGGCGTTTATGCACGGTTGCACCTGCAAGTACGTCTCGAATGAGATGCAAGCGCCGGCTTGCTCCCTGCATTCAAGGATTCAGTCAAGTCAGATCCTGACATGCCGGCGCATACACGCAGAGAAGCACCTTATGAGTCTTTGAGCAAAGAGCACTGGTGCTGTTGGTGCTCATTTTTGGAAGGGCCACGCAGCCGAAGTGACAGGTCAACTCGCCGAACTCGAAGCCCCCTGCACGAAGAACTCTTGCCAAACTTGTAAGCCTAGTCCCCTGAAGGCCAGTCCCAGCCGTGGGGGGTCTACGTAAGCTTTCGCAGCTTCCCGGATGGCTTCGGAAAGCCGGGCCTCGTCTGAGAGCGTCTGCCTGACCCGCATTGCGCACTAGGGTCACTGGCGTGGGCCTGGAGAAGAATTAAGCATGAAGGGGTTGAGGCCTCCAGCACTGCTGCTTCATAGGTTTTGCCAGGCTTTCGCAGAGTATTCTTGTTAAAGGGCCGTTGAGTTGGGATGCGGGGTATGATCCAGAAGTTGCTTGAACTCCAAACAGCTTTCAGATGAGAGCCAAAGCCACTGCATATGGAATAAACCACATGGGATCTAGCAGAATCTAGCAGCTAGCCGTCGTATCTGGCTAAACTGCTGGAACTTGGGAGACGAGCGACTTCTCTGCGCAGCCGAGAGAGTCGGCCTAAACCATCTGGTTACGCAGATCCGTGTGTGGCTCTTTCTTGTGCGGAGAGACGCCCAAACTCCGTGAGAAGTAGTGACGAAGTAGTGAAGGTTCCCCGGCCTTCTGCCAGTCTGCCAGGCTTCAGAGAGTGGAGGCCAAAGCACAGACGGCGGTGGCGCAAGCGGAGCGGCCCGGGCCCAGGCCATCCGCGGGGGGGGGGGGGGGGCATCTCCCCTATCAGACCCAAAAAGGGACTTTAAGGCTTTAAGGCGCTTGAAGCCGAATTCTTAATACTATGGAAGTTCATGTCGCAAGCTTCGAAGGATCTTCGGGTCAGGGCTGATGATTGTTTGGAAAGCTCCTTCTAGTGGTCCCAGGAATTGACACGATGTCGACATGCAGAAGAAGCTAGAAAAGAAACATGTTAACTCAACTTAGACTTGGGTAAGACCAAGCAGGAGGCGGAAAACAATGTGGTCTTTCCGTGGATGCTCCGATTTGTGAGCACAGACACTGTCCCAAGCTGAGATCATGGATCCTTCAATTGCTGTTGAGTGTCCTGATGCTGCACGTGACTGGTTCAGTCTGGTCGTTTTGGAGCACTGTCGTCCGACCGGTGACTTATGGCCGAGGTCGAAGTCGCACGGATCGCGTCATGCTTTTCCAGCCCCATGTGCGTGCGCAAGGTGATGAAGGCAGCGTGGTTTGGGTGCTTTGGGCTTCGGGACTGGCTGAGGGTGCAGAGGCTGTTATCAAGTTCCGTGGAGGGACCTGGCTGCCGACTGCCCTGCTGATAAACCACACTTTTTCCCTGGCTCTCCACAAGACCGAGCAACGCGTAGCAGGTTCCTCACATCGCTTATTATTAGCATGTACAGTTACAGTCTTGCAGGACTTTCTGGTGTTCTCTGCAGGATGTGGCCGTGCTGATGGACCGTGTGGAACAGGTGGAACCTCTCCATCTGGAGTCCACAAGGCTGTCCTCCCAGATGCCCGAAGGTCACAGGCGATGAGGCTTAGATTCGGTTCCCCAACATCTTCGGATGTTAGGCGGTCTGGGCACTGCACTCGCCTGTCCGGGCTTTCTGCCTGCGCGTTGTGTTCGAATCCTTCTGGGCTTTCCAGAGCCAAGAACAAGGGTAGCGGCCAGCGTGCATTGGTTTTTCTTCTGCCGAGGATTCATTTCACACATCTGCTGCAGTTCCTCTATGCTCGTCCGAGTCGAGAGCTCCCTGGACCAAGATTTTCTTCGGGCGGACAGTGTGCTGGGGTCCAGGCTTTCCGCGGGCGAGATAGCTTGCTGTAGACAGGCGAGGGACATGGACACCACATTGGCCACCTCTTGACTCTTGGGATCATGAACTAATTAAGCATGTGCTCAGTGCACCAGCTATAGTAGCCAGATGTAGCTAGTCAGCTCCTGGCCCCCCTTAAACCGAAACTATCAGCTTCTGACTCGCCTTCAAGGAACGGCAGCGCGCTGATGCGTTGGATTGACTGCGTGCGCAGGCAATCGGCCGCCCGAAAACGAGGGAGAGCGGCAGTGAGAGAAAAGGAGAGAAAGAGAAACAAAGAGAGAGAAGAGAGATGCTTAGCCATACTCGGTGTGCTTTGACAGTGTGGGATCCCCGAGCTCACGTAGCTGAGTCCAAGGGACAACAACAGCGGGGGGGGGATCCATGCTGCGGCCTAATCTGCCATCCTTTCACTTCGTCTGACTGGCCAGCAGCGTGGAGAACCCCAGTGATCGTACAGCCGAGCCTTTGGGAGAAAAACCCTCGAAGGGGTCAGACCTCCCGCGACAAGCGGGTGTGCGCGCACACGGGGTGATCGGCCTGGACGCTGCCGTGATCCCCAAGCCCGGAAGAGAGAGAGAGAGAGAAGAGAGATGGAGAACCTTCGTACCAAAGCCAAGCAACTTCTGGAGGTTTACCGCAAGTATGGCCGCCATCCCCCGAAACTCATTATGAATTTGGCATATGATCCTTACAGTGTCAATCCTTTATGGGAAGAGGCCGTGGACCGATGGGGGAAGCCACTACAGAGATACATATGCCGACCAATCGTTCCGAAGCGCTCCCCGACTGGGACGAGGCGGGAGACATCCGAGCTGTGACGCCACCCATGTCATGCTCGACAGAGTGGGAAGGGGGAACCTCTCCTCATGACGACGACACTACAAACTCTGATCCTGCGGGGGAGCATGACAGTCTTGGTGCCCAAGCTCCTGCCACTCCAGAATGGCCCGATCGTCAGAGGAGCACAGCATCAAATTCCAGAACATGGGGGAATATGACGGCAAACCCCCAGGTCTATGGGGGAAGATGGAAGCATACATGGAAGGTGCAAAGCAAGCTACAATGGCGAGAAGAGGAGAAGAGACGACGACAGCTTGCCGCACGAGCACGACAACAAGGCGGATCGCGATGAACTGAGCAGTTTCGCGCAGTGAGGGGCAAAAAATCGCGTGCATAAATCCTTCAGGTGTAAAGGGGGGATGAGTCTTCATGGTGTTGCTTCCTTGATTGCTGAGGTTGTTTGAATTTCTACTCCGAAGCCCCGCCTCGCCTTTCAGCAAACCGTAACCTTGCTCCTTGTCGGGGGAGCCTGCAATCGCACCGCTCAGAGTACGTTTTCAATGGTGGTCTCGACCACCCACCTTGGAACTTTTTCAACACCCGAACCTTGTGAGATAAAGCCCCACATGTGACGTGTAAGCTTGATCTGTAACTTTCTGCATACTGCAGTTCGGCCTTTGGGCCATCGCTCCGCATCGTTCAATCTCCGCTCAAATGCACCAGCGGGGGAAGCTAAATTCGACCGACTGTACTTTTGCTTTCCTCCGCAAATTTTGATTGGAAACATGAAGGAGGGGGGAATAAACGTCTTGAGTTTGCCTCTCCGTTTACGAGCCGCCCCTCCTTCGAGTACCACCTAGCTGACGCATTGGGAGCGTACACTTGTCTTGTCCGGTATCGTATACTACATGGCCTCAGCCTCTTGACAAGTTACGCTCGTTTCTCACCCCCGCAACCGTTCCATATGCGAACGGGTGGGCTTGAGGCCCGGGGGCGCTCACCCGCCTCCATGCCCGAGAGAGAGAGAGAGAGAGAGAGAACGTATAAGGGGTAAAGCCCTTATACCATAACCCTGACGAAAGAAAGAGAGAGAACGGGAGAGAAGGAGCGAGCCCCTGAAAAACAGGAGGCAGACAGTCAGTCTTGTATAGACCGAGCCCATCCTTTCCAAATGATGGGTCGCACTCGCGCGGGACGGGGGGACTGCTCCCGTCTCAAACCCCGAGCAAAGCAAAGGCAGCGAGCGAAAGCAAGAAAGCAAGCGAGCAAGAAAAGCGAAAGAAAGAACAAAAGTGTTCAGGTCTGTTCTCAACTTGGATCGGAGGATCCGGATCCATAGAGTCTCAGAGCGCCTCCAGAAGTTGGTGCAAGTGACGGGGCCACGCGCCACATGGGAGTTGCCAAAAAAGCAGCGCCCACCTTAAAAGCGCCGATGGATTCGGAGTCTTTCGGTCTTTAGGGATCCGGCGTGGCGCAGCTGCTCAGGTGTCCCGAACAGTCAGTCTGTTGACAGATGGCACACATCTCATTGCGACCGCCCAAGATGCATATTGGCATCGTGGATGCAAAGGCCGTCTCATGCATACCCAAGTCTTCGTGCAGGTCCCTGGATTTTCGTCACTCCTGGCCCAAGGAGCCGCTCAAGGACGAGAGGCAAAGCGGCTCATGCAAAGCTTTAGACTCACGGCGGAGTGCTGACGGTCGTTGTCGTTCTTGGTACTGTATGGGATTCTTTGGACGGCCGATGCGTTCTTCACTTGTGGTTGCGCGTTCGTCTCCTGTTTCTGTTGGTTTCTCATGCTTTGGCTGACACCCTAGCCTTCCCGCAGCTACTACCAGCTAGCACTTACCCCCATCAAGAGATGTCTTGATTGAACTTCGCTGAAACATTGCCGGTCATGTGCCCCACTCTTTCTTGGTGTACACACATGCCATAGACGTACGCATGCAGCGGTGCACATCAGTACTGCAAGGTGCGTCACGTTCCCATGAAAATGTGATGCTCAGAGAATCTGGGTAGGACTGATCCAGGAGTCCATCCCGAAGTCCCCAACCTGGAGTCTAGCAGACCCGACATTTATTCTACATCATTACACTAGGGGGCTTCTGTTTTGTTTCATGTTTGATGAAGGGTCCCACATTTGGCAGGTTGGGAACGATGCTGGAAGGCGTGGAGCAGATAATGATCCTGCATCCGAAGGAGGGTTTGATTCGGCCGCTTGCCGGGAATCTGTTTCCAGAAACTCGGTGTGCAGATTGTCGCTTGTATTGTAAATCGCATCCCATACAACAAAGCTGGTATTAAGCACGTGACAGCAGCATCCTGTAGCAAGTCAACTGCCACTGGAGGGCCGACATGCGGTGTCATGGTGCGTCCACTCGTGCATGCACACTCTGCGATACATTGAGACAATAAGCGTGTTTGGGTAAGCTTGCCGTCGCCCTGCAAGGAACCTACCTTGCCTGCCTCCCGAGTTCTGTGCGGACTACCGGTGTTTGTTTTTACATGGGTTATAAGGACCTTTAGGTATCCGAACCGCTTAGCAAGTTGGTTTCCGTTTGTCACCTCCTTGAAGTGAGAGGTAGACTGTCGCGGAGATAGGGTGGCGGTCTCGTTGGATGATGTTGGATGCACAAGGTGGGTCTTCCAATTGCTTAGTAGAAATTCAACGAGGCCTCAGAAACAAAAGCAGGCCCCACGAAAGTTCGCATCGTCATCACACGACTGCGAAACCGAAATTTCCAGCCCATGCGACAGCATGGAATATGTCTTGTCGCTCCAGTTCCAACATGTTCACCCTCCGAAACTGGCACGCGCCCTTTCGGTTGAATGCTCAGGCTGCATTGGATGAACCCGCTCCCAACTCCTGACACTCGGCCGCACAAGGTTGACCTGCACTGGCAAAGCAACATGCCAGTGCGTGTCTTTTTGTTGTGTCCAGCTTTAACGGGCTTTCACTCCAGTTCGCGTCTTCCAACGAGCCATAGGCAGATGGACAGACACGTCTGAACATGTCCGGCGATGTCACTCAACATATCTCGACCAAAGTCACCTCATGCACTCAGGAGAGGATGTACGTAAAGGTAGCCCACTAGCAATCCGTGAATACAGGGACACACCGTTGCCGTTGTGAATGATCTTGGGATGGAGCGAAGGCATCGCAAGGCTGCGGGCAAATCGGCCATACAAGCCACTACTAGGGACTGCAACGTGCAGTCTCCGGGCTGAGAGCGAAGCTAGAGATGAGGCGTGGCTGCAGCACGGCGGATACCAGTGCGACATCTGCTTCAATCCGGATCTCCGCACTGGCTACCAGCATGCTTCTGGGACCGGACCATATACAAGCGCGCAGTCAGACCTTGCAGGTTCAATTGCGACTGAAAGTGACGGGCCTGCTTCAACTTGTAGTGTGCGGGTTGGACAGGTTCAAGCAGTTCTGATAGTATGACCGATGCCGCCTGTATAACCCAGGTCAATGAGGACAATGCGCGCGACCACTCCAAGCTGCTTGAGCAGCGGACTGGCTACGCTACGAAGCTGCAAGTTGGGCAAGGTTTCATGTTGTCAAGGGCCCTCTTTCGATGCGAATTCGACTCTGTGGCCCAATGGGACACCTGTCAACAAAAACCTCGAGCTTGGAATCTGCAACACAAGGATGCTTGTGCCAAATGCGCCGCCGCTTTGCTGCAAATGCAGTTTCCGCTAGTTTGCCGGACCCACTTTCTTGAGACAGCAAGTCGTGAAGGACGATGGACTCGCATTCAGCCATGTCGCAGAAGTCTGTTCAGAAGCCAGCCTTGCACACCTGGCCTTGTGCTGAGGTAGAGACTCTTGTCAAGAACCGCATAAGGATCCACGACTGGAGCTGCAACGCGACAGTGCAAAGAGGAGTGCAATGCTCCAGAGCGGAGCGCCTGAAATCCCAGCACTGTGCCATCTCAGACCTCACATTTGAAGGAGTGCCTGTGGGCGATCGTCGCTGCGAAACGGGCGAGGAGCAGCTGAGCCACTTGAAAAAAATCCGGGATGCGGCTTCGGCCTCACCAAAGCGACATGACAGCTTCGCTGTTTGAGGTCTTTCTGTGTCCCCCCGTGTGGCCCACGGAAGCCTTGGCGTGGAGATTGAAGTGCAAGGCTGGGAATGGAGCCTCAGTCCTCACTGGCAGATGGGATGCAAATCAGTAGCCGTACTTCAGATTAACAAGGCCTTTTTAAGGGAATCTCTTTGGAAGATAGGCTTAGCATCCGCGCCCCTGCAGGTTCTATCGGTCATCACGTTGCAGTTGCTGCGCTTCCCATGGACCGGGGAGGGGCCCGGCTGGGAAAAGCCAGAGCCATCCTCGTGCTTGAGGCTTAAGAGTTATGCAGTGCATGAACACAGGCATCAGGGCTTTTTTGGCATTTCGGGGGAGAGGGCGGCTCATTCCAGGAGTATAGACGATGCATCCCAGCGTGAAATCCTAGCCTCGGCTCTCGGGTTTTCCTCCCCGCAAGGACTGCGAGCTGCCAGCTGCATGGCTGGGGACTGGCAGGACACACGCGGAGCCTATTTCGGGTTTCTGTTTCAGCTTCGACGATGCACGTAGCACGTCGGGACATAGTGTGTCTTGCAGGCAAACAACCGAGCCTAGCCCCAACTTATGACCTGCGACCGACTTCAAGAAGGACTTGCGGGGGACGAGTCAGAGCCCGGCAAAAATACAAAATGGCCACTCCTATATGGGTTTCACCTCATCCGACGAAAGGCTGACTCAGCCTGACACGATGCAGCCCTCCGCTGTGCACTCTTGTGATGTTCAGGTCCATGTGGGGAGCTGCATGGGTCCAAGAGAGAAAGAAGTGAAGGAAGTGCATGGAGGGCGGGAGGCATATCTAAGGAATCTAAGAGCAGGTGAGCTTTCAATTCCCAGTCTGCGAATACGCGCGATCCGCTGCGAACTTCCAGGAAGGTGCTTCGTCAAGCTGAAATTCCTCGAAGTGTTCCTTGGAAGTCCCTGCGGGTGTTGGGGAACATTCTGGTTTTCGTGAGAGCACGACTCTTTGGATTGCCCGCATCGTTAGAGCCCAAACTTTCCCTGGCTTTCACCACAATCGACAGCGCTAGACCGCTAGAAGTCTCCATGATCCAAACATCGGACACGAACTAGCAGAAGCTTTGCCGGAAGGGGCCGGAGATAAAGATCCGAGGCTGCAGAGCCCAGCTGCAAAGTTGTGCAGCGGCTTGCTTGCAGATTTGAGCTTCTTAGGGGGGGCAACTATAGCAGCATAGCAGATCCAGCTCCGAGGCGCTTGTTAGATGTCTGTGTCGTGCACGAGCCAGGACCCACCAGTGGCTCCCACCGTTGCCCTAAACACAGAAGCCCAGTCAAGAGAAATGATCCCGTTGCGATGCACAGGTTCCGCTGCCTGAAGTCGGACACGCTTTTCCGTTTTGCCCCCGGCGAGAATCGAGGCGGCTGAGGGGGAGTGGCAAAGCCTCCCGAAAACTGATACAGTACGTGGCAGTGCCTTTCTCAAAATCTTGGCACAGGCTGCCTACGATGCTGGGCGTTGTTGCGGAACGAGCAGACTTTCGGCACCTTGGAAGAACGCTGACTCTAAGGGTCTGTGAATCCAGCAGGCGCTGCCAGAAACTCTTGTCTGCAGAGAGTATGCGCCCCTGTACCCCCCAAATGGTCTTTGCCTCCAGCCTGCAGGCTGTTTAGGCCCCGACGTGTGTTTGCCCCAGGCGCAGAGCACTCCATCCAGGCCGTGAGCTGCGTCGAGCGCAGCACCGAAGGAGGTGCGCACCAGGGGAACTTGAGACCTTCACTGCTTGCATCTTAGAGGTTTGTCCAGGAAGCCTCTGTGTCGAAGTGGATGCACGATTTTCCAATAATCCATATTGGAATGGCTCCTCAACTACCTTCGAACTGCAGAACCGTAACGAGCGGAAATGTACATTCGAATGTATTTGCGAAGGCGAGATGCTGTCTTGCAAGTCCGTGTAGACATCCGTGCTTCCGATGATGCCAATGCCCGTGGGAAGGCACAGTCCGGCTGGCGTGGAGGAAGGGCCCCGCAGGAGAGGGAGCCACGATTCCGGCCGAGCAGCTGGAGGCTGTCAGCGTGAAATTCGTGAACAAGAAACCCCTTCTGTATTCACCCGGCACCACATCTCCGCCTGACAGCTCAGCTTCTTGAGTTTCGCTTGGCCAGGCTCTCCGCCTGCTGGCAACTTGGGCAGGCCGCCTTACCCCGGAAAGGGCCGCACAGCCCAAAGGGCGTACAAGTACTGCGACTTGAGCACCATGAAGCCTATGCCTTGTGAAGAAGCTTCAGGGTGCAGGGCAGTCTTCGAAGCGGCCTGTGGCAGGCTGCCTTCACAACCTGCCTCCCCCGAGCACGGCGGGCGCGGGGCCGACCTCTGCGGCCTCTGCCAAGAGCGATGCTGCCGAGGCGCTCAGGAGTGCCCTGGCTTTCAGAAGAGGCTGCGAGCTGAGAGCGAGCTATGTTCATATTATCAGTAAGCCACGCTTGATTCTGAGAGCGCGTTCCGGTTTAGCTGTGCAAAAGTAGCCGCAACTTGCGCCCGTGGCGAGGGATGCATGTGCTAGAAGGGAAATAGCCCAAATCATCGCGAAAAAAGTTCACAAAACCTAAAGCCAGAGAGAACGAGCAGCGCGCAACTCTGAAATTCCGAGGCTTCGAGCGCCAGGGCCCGGGAGTGAAAGGCGCGTTCCTGCAGGCGCCAGAGCTCGAGGCTGTGGAGCCTCGCTGGAATCCGCTAGACCAAGGGCCCCCACAAGGAATCAGAGCGTTGACAGTATGAGAAGTGAGTTAGCTGGGAGCGGAGTTTGGGGACGTGTTGGCTTTCCCTTTTAGAGTTTCGGCAGTCATGGTGGCGACAGTTCTTTAACGCCCCCCCAATTCTTGTCCCAGAACGGAGCCCTTGAGACTCCTTCGAGCGAAGCCGGAGCCTTGATCCTAGGACTGTGCCATTTGCTCCGTCCTTAGCACATGGGATACTGTCGCAGACAGGTGCTGCCGTAAGGCAGTGTATTGCCGCTGGAATTGCTACAGTCGAATGGTCGAACGTAACCTGCCGAGATGCTCTGATCTTTGGGAAGGATGGTGTCAGAGTCGGCTTGCGACTGAGGTTTGGGGGGTCTGTGTGACCAGACCTGGGTCCGCGGTGCTCCCGTCAAAACCAGGCGACCCCAAAGAATGCTCCGGACTTGTTTTATGGTCCTGACCGCGCGCTTCTGCATTGGCAGAGGTCCCGAATTGTTTTGCGGCTTTCGTTCCGATTGGAGGACTGTTGCAGGTTATTGCTGCGTAGGCACCTCTCCTATTCTCAAGCGGTGGTTCTGGGGTTCACATGCATGCACACACACACACACACACCACAAGCTGAGGAGTTGCTTGGCCTGCCGACTGACGGATTACAAGCTTTGTAGCGTGGGGTCTATATGCTCCACGAGCATTCGTGCAGTCTGTCCTGCAGGACCGTTCCTGCGTGCATGACCGTAACTATGATGGTTCATAGGTCAAGCACATGAATGAGGCCAAGAAGTAGAAATCCACAGCTCTTTTGTCAAGCTGTGACAAAATGAGCTGAGCAGAGACTTGGCAGTTCAGTTCGGTGGCATTCGGCGGCAAGTTCAACCCAGGCTTTTGAAGCATAAGGAGGGAGAGAGAGAGAGAGAGAGAGAGAGAGAGAGGGAGAGAGAGAGAGAGAGAGGTAAGTCGGGGTTTTGGAACTTTGGACCTTGCAGCTTTAGGGCCTGGCCACGCAGCGAGCAGCACGGAAGTTCAACCTTCAAGCCACTGCCGCCTCCATGATCTGCCGCCATGGCGCACGGCTATGCCCGGCCGGAGGCAGGGCAAGATCCTGCAGACTTCAGTAGTACGTGTATGGGTGGAAGGGGGGAGGGTTTACAGTTCTAGCACGATTATCGGGATAAGATTGGATACGCTTTCATACTCTGCCGACTTTTCAGACCTCCATACAATATTAGATTGCATCATTCCGCCTTTGCATTTCAAGTTCACTGACCCCTTAAGCTGCAGCTTCGCGGAACTTGTGAGAGACATTCTGAGGTTTAACTGCATCCTTTGTAAGCCTTCAGGGAATCACTGCTGCATATCGCGCACGACTAGGCAAACTCTGCTTATGTGATCACTTGAGACACGCAAAGATGCGCACACATACATGTTGATGTATATGTGCTTATGCTTTAGATATACAGACACATTGACATGTACATATATATATATATATATATACACACATGAATGGATGGCTGGCTGAATGGATGCCTGGCTGGATGGCTGGATGGGTAGGCTATAGGCTTCTAGGTAGTCCTGGTAGGTAGGTCGGTAGGCAGGTCAGTCGGTCGGTAGGTAGGTATGTGAGCAATTAGATAGGTAGGTAGATCTAGATAGATACACAGACAGATACATAGATGGACGGATAGATACATCAACAGATGGAGAAATGGACGGACAGAAAGATAGTTTGCTAAGCTTCCATTCACGTGCACAGATACGTGTTTATGTGTACAGATACATACATACATATACACACACACACACACACACATCTGTTCATTCCACGTGCGCATGTAGATCCGCACATTTGTCTGTATGCAAATAGTGGTTCGTTCATGCATACATACATATGTACAACACGTACAGGTTAGGTTGGGTAAGATCGCTCGTTTTGATGTAGAGGTCGGCCGCGGCAGCGTGCTCTCACCTGCCAGCGTTGCCGTCGGGGCACCGGCCGAGGCCGAAAAAGTAGAAGCAACAAGTCTGTCCACGAGGACGGTACTGAAGCCCCACCTGAGCTTCCAGCCGTCCGTTTGCTGTCCCATCTGTCAGGTCTTCAGCAGCACTTCCGGCCGATGGGAGCACTGCAAGGCTTGGTGCGCGACAAACCCGGATGACGGGACAGACGTTGATGACTCATTGCTCCTATGTCACTGGTTGCTGATCTTCAGCTTGAGTTTGCTCCGTGCGTGATGTCAACTTTTCTGGCTGAAAGAGCTGACATCCCGTTGCAGTTCCAATCCCTCAACTGTGTGCAAGGTGATTCGTTTGGAAGACAACATCGCCACCGTTGCCTACCAACGTGGCGGAGACCACGTCCAAAAGGCAGGCCTTTGACTCCAATAGTGACGAGACAGGCTTTTGTTCTGTGCGCAGGATTCCCTACAATGGGTTCTTGGAGAGCCTGCATGCCCAGTGCTAGAAAAACAGGGCCTTGAACTGCAAAGGCTTGGATCTTCGGCCAAACACTGACTTGGGCCTGGCTTGATGGAATCGACTAGAGCATAGCATTCCTGCGCGCTTCCGTTTTCAGAGAGGCTCTCCCCGTGGGCCATCCGCAGCTGCGGTTCCAGGGCTTGGCAGCCGCACCTGCCGCGCTTCGGCTCACAAATGAAGTTCCTCCTCCGGCTTGGGGCATCAGATGCTTCAAGGCGGTTTGGGCGATGATTGAAGAAGGCTCTGGGCTGGTGGTTCATGCTCGCTCAAGCTGCTTTCAGGGGAGAAATGGGCACATAGCTAGTGAATCTGAGGCTTAGATTCGGTGATTCGGCAAAGACAGCTCCGAGGTTTAACGTGAGTGTTCTGGGGGAGTGAAGAAGCAAGAGCCGGGGATTAGCTTAGGGAGCTCGAAGGATCGAACGAGACTCATGCCGTCGATCTGCTATTGAGAGGTGATGAACTGCTGGAAGGTTGCGAGGTTCATGTGCGACCGCACCAACTTCGGAATCGCGATCTCGGTGCGCAGCCCCGAAACGCAAGCTCGGATGTCCTTCGCTTCCTCTGGTTCCCTATTGAGGCCCCAGGATTTCGGCCCGTGTGCCGCGAGGGCATCAAGTGCAGGGCCCGCTGCTGGACAGCAAGAGTTTACAGAGACGTAGCAGACGCACGGAGCTTCAATTAGCGATGTTCTCAACAGTCAGGCTTCCTAAGCATCAGCGAGGGTTGATGAGCAGTGATTCAGACACCAGAGCTGGATCGGGCTCTCAAGGCCGAGGCTTTTTGAAATTCACGTTCAGGACAAGATCCTCGGCACCTTGAAGCTTGCTTCGCGACTGCAATAAGCCTACAGACTCGGACGGAAATAGCTGCAGCACTCCTCTTCCGTGCATGTTGACTGTTGGGCTGTTCTTGCTCTTCGAAGGCTTGCCTCCCAGCGTTTCGGAACGATTACACAAAGACCCGATGTGCCTGCAGTGCTAGGGAAGACGGTGTGCAAAAGTACGGCCTGCCGAGCCGCACGACATTATTAGTGAGTTTGCTGGCAGGGAGCCATCCTTTCGACCCGGACTTCCGACGCAGCTGCGAAAAGGAAGGACTTCAGTTCGAGACTTAACTCCAGAGTTTCAACTAGAGTACGGTCGTCCTCTGGGAACGGAGCCTGTTGCCCCAGGCCCACTCCGCCAACGCTACATCTTCTTTTTGGATGGGTGGATGCTGATGACTCTGGAAAGATTTCAAGGCCAGCCCCCAACCCACATTCAAAGAAGCTTCTAAATCCTGGCAAGTGCCACCACTACTTTGTCAGCTTCTGGTTACAGGCCGCCGGGTTCTGCTTAGGCTTAGTCGCATTTCTACTACGTGTGTGATTGTCATCTGGTCTGGGATTACTTCCGGATTGATGTCATGACTCTTTTCAGTCTTCGGTTTTGGACGAGGTTTTGTGGTGCGACTTTGTCAGCTGGTCGGGCGGTACACATGTCATGATTCTGGTTCTTTGTTATAAACGGGTCCGGGCTCTACACTTATGCATGAAAACGACGGTTTCCGCTATTTCCATGTCTATCCACACCGCACATCTGAACACTTGGGGTTCGACTAGGATCCTTGTGGCCTCTGAAGTCTAAGATCGGCATCTGGAGTCCGAAGAGACCCAAGCAGATGCCCCCATGCATCAGAATGGCGATGCCGTCATGCAAAAGAGATTAGCTCCCAGGACCCTCTCCGTTCTCATCCACAACGCCGTCAGCGCACCATACACCATCACCACCAGATCATTACCATCGGAACCGCAACCCTGGCCAGGGCCGAGCTGGAAAGAGCCTTGCCGCTCTTGGAGCGACTTCAAGGATCTCATCGCGCCGAGCCGAGAGAGAGCTGATGAGCTGATCTGTTCAGGTCAGGCTCCTTTTTGCAGGCAGCAAGGCAAGGCTCGTAGGATTGCCCTCTGCCTTGCCGGCTGAGCAGTGAACCGAAACTCTGACGGCGTAGGAGAGCGGCTGATGCTCACGGAAGAATCCTGGGAGCGGCTGGACGAGGCCAAGTCTTTGACTGAAAGCCTTACAAATCTCACTAGACCGACCACTCGCTATCACAGCAGCACGTGCAACACGGACAAACTAACATAGACATATCATTGCAACTACCGCTTCTAAGCAGCCTTTCATTGCGCCCGGAGTGTTTCGAAATGGCCCGCGGCTAGTGTTTATGATTTCACCTGAACGGAAAGTCTCAAGCTCGTTTGGCGACTCTGGGTGTGAGAGCATAAAGTAAAGATGCAAGAACCTGCCATTCATGGATTCCCATAGGCAGGTGTCTTGAAGATCTCGTCCAAACCCAGCGGTCCGAGCTTGTTCATGTTTCAGAATGAAGCTTCACCTCGATGCTTTCACCCTCCATCGCCTCGAGAGTCCAAGGTGCGCCGAGACTAAAACTGAGAAGAGTGGCCTTCCAGCCAGGACGGAAACGGCGCTGTGAACTTCTCCGAGTTTGCCCAGCCCCGCGGCTGGCATCGGATGGGATTTCCTAACTAGTAGGCACTAGCCTCCGCAGTAGACGTGGTCCGAAAATAGAACTAAGTGGTAGGATAATTGCTACAAAGAAGGCAGTTTCTGTACCCGGCAGCATCGGATCTTCAGATTCCGCAGCCAAGTCCCGAAACTGAGGTCGGACAAGTTGGCCCAAAATTGGAAATGCACGAAGCGGAAATGACGGAGCTGAATTGTAGATTCGAGCGAAACCACAAATTTTAAATGGCAAACTGCCTGCGTGTTGTGCTCCGGAATGCTCAGGACACAGCAGCACGTGAGCGAGCAGAAGGTGAGAGTGCCAAACGCTGCTTTAGGGGAGCCAAATTCCGTGAGACAAAACGAGTGACAAAGAGACAAAGTTGTCGCCAACAAAAGGCAGTCTGAAATGCAAGTTTCCAGAACCCGCCACTGAA